ACCTCTGGCCATCTTGACTGCTCATTCCACAAGAGCTCAGGCCTCTTCAGCAGCATTTCTGGCGGAGGCGCAACTTGGTCATCTCTGCATAACTTTTCTTCCCACTATGCCATCACCCAACAGGCTTGAGATGACGCCTGGTTTGGGAGAGCAGTGTTGCAATCTGCATGTCCATGAACTCCAAGCCCACCTTCTTGGGTACTGCTTGCGAGTCACCTAAAATGGAATGGACATGAGCAAGCACTCAAAGAATCAATAACTGTCACTAACCTTTCTGTAACGTTTTTTCTTCAAGATGTTTTGCTCATGTCCATTCCACAACCCACCCTTCCACCTCTCTGTTGGAGCACTGAGGGGGTGCAGTGCCAGCAGTGCCCCTTATACCGTCGGCACAAAAGGGTTTGACACCGGAAGGTGCTAGAGTCAGCCTGGCGAATACCACTGAGGATAAATTTCCAGCAATGGTGCGCAATGGTGCCTACCGTGAAATGGACCTGAGCAAAACACCTTGAAGAACAACAGTTATGGATAGGTTAGTAACCGTTTCTTTTCATATGATAATAGTTGAAAGGCTTTATTACTGAGTTTAGGAAAATTGGGCTTTAACTTAGTAGGTAAAAAAAAATGGATGCAGAGTTTAAAACATGGAACAAATGGAGATTTCTAAATAAGAGACTGTATAAATTGGGAGTAGAACCCATGCCAGGTACACCCATGTTTAGTTTGCCAGCTTCAGTTCTGAACAAATTTTATATACTGTGAACACATTTTTTTAATCATATTAGTAGAAACTGTGTTGTAGAGTACCCACTTAAATGTAAATGGCATAATTTTTGAACATAAGTATGGGTATATGATTGGGCACTGTGTGTACCCTAGGTAACATTTTCGAACAGTTAAAACAGCTCATGTAGACAGGGCCTAAGTCCAGCTCTGTGAACAGAAGTGAAATGGGGCATGTTTTTACTGCTGACTCTTTGATGTAGTGGCCTTCAAGATCCTTGTTTGGAGTGATATATCAGGGGAACATTCTGTCTTTAACCCATGAAATTTATACTCCTGTTTTCCCAGTTTTGCACAAGACGATAAACTTTTGTCTTCAGAGAATGCTTCTTGATCACTCTCTAGAGGAGGATTTGTTGGCTTGCTCTTTACTGCAGACATCTTACCCACGGACTGGTTGCTGGCCCCTCTTCCGCCCCTGCCCCCCCCCCACCCTTTCTGTTTGAATAGAATATCTAGTTGCATAGTCAGCGACACACACATACAGATGGATAGCAGTCAGCCTGTCTTTTTGAGAGGTCTTGTGCCAAGTCTGGAAGTAATGGGTGAGTCTAAGAATATGATTGATGGAGACGGAATTTGGCAATTGCCCCAGAAGTTATCACTTTTTTTTCCCTTCAACCTTTGTCCCTGAAATTTCACTTTGGTTCTGCAGTCAGTGGACACCAGGGCATGTAGTGTGCAGTAAACTCCTGGAGGCTGTTTTCCGTTTCTAAATATGTACTTTTTCTGACCCTCTGTGTAGCAAATTGTTTAAAAGTCACTAAAAGCAACAAAGTTGAAGTCATATTGTGTGTTGCAAAAGAGAATGCAGTTCCACCAAGGACTTTGGCAAGGCTTGCTGTAGGTTAAAAAATTGATTTCTTTTCTGCTTTGCATGTGCCTTAAGCAATTCTGTAGATGATTTAAAAAGCAATAGCAACATAATATATTTGCCTTATTTTCATTCTGTACATGTCAAAGTAATAAAATGGTATTTAATAAGGTGTAAGATTCATTGATGGGTTATTTAAATCCCTACAGCCTTCCATGGGCTCCCAGAATAAAAATGCAAAGAGGCTAGATATTGTCTTCAACAAAGCAGAATTTTCCAACCACTTTTAAGTGACTTGCAAAGGATTTTTAAGAAATTGGGCTTTTGCTCTTTTTTGTTTCTTTATTACATATATAAAGAAAGAAAGGCTTGTAATGCCAGCTCTTCAGGGGGGTTTCCTGCCTTTTTTTTTTTTAACCTTAAATAGTATACAATTTCAGAGGACCACTGGATGATCTGAGGTGTGTGTTTAAATTAAGATGTTAGAACTCATATTAAAAGGGTTTTTTTATATTTAACAAAGGCATTTTTATTCAAAATGGTGTTTAGTCATTTAAGTACAATAGGTGTTAACAAGAATAAACATCTTTAATAAGAGTCTGACTTAAAATTCCTTCCTCCTAATAGTTTAGTTTACCCTTTCTTGGCTCTTGTGATGTACCTCAGCTGTCACTGGACTTGTCTTTCCTAGTTTTATTTTAACCTGGAGCAAACATTTTAAGATGTGGCATTTTAGATGACATTTAGCCTTTTACAAACTTGTTAACTACTTTGAGTTAATTGGCAATCAATTAGATATTGGTAACAGCTCTAGTGTGGACATCCAAGAGCTCTAGGAACAGCAGTTTTTTCAGAAAGATAATGCTCAAGTTTCTTTACTGTGACTTTAGCCTTTGCAAAGTCCTAATCACTGAAACTGTTCCACGAGACAGTTGGGTAGATCCAGGATGTCCCCCTTGTATTCTGAGTAGAGATTTTTTTCATTATATTTCACTGATAAGATTACTCAGATATGGACAGGGCTGGCGGTTTCTGTGATATGAGGATTTTAGTGGTCTTTTCAGAAAAGTTTTATGATTTCTCATGGCACATAGTTCTGGGCTTTTCAATACTAGAAAGGTGTTGACAGAGGGGAGGCATTTCAAAGGAACTCTAAAAGTGAGTGAGGGGGCTAGGGGGATTGAGTGAAGCAAGATTTAGAATAGCTACAATAACTGAAACTGACTAAAGGCAGAAATTACACTCCAAAGATTTGAAGATTAATGCAGAGAGAAACTTTGCATGGTACAGGAGGGGGTATAACATTTATATTAAAGAGAAAATTTAGGTTGAATATTAGAAAAAACGGACCGAGAGCTAATGGATTGTGGAATAGCCTCATAGCAGATGCCTAATTGTACAATCACTTAAGGGGGCACAATTAACATGAAAATAATATTTCCATCTCAAATTTGTGTACTTACTGTTACAAATCACATATTATATTACTACAGTTGTAAGAGACAACAGGTGAAAATCCTGTTGTAGTTTGTGCATTTATCTGCACTTTGTCTGCCATCGATTTCAGTGTTTTGTTGAGGATACATACCAATCCCCTGGCTCTGCAATATTTACCAGTAACAGGTGCAGAAAAGTTGAAACTGAGTGAGTAAAGAAGTAAGTCATTGGTGGGTGGTTGCACAGAAACAAGGGGGGAAAGCGACTTTATTTAGTGGTGGTGCTTTGACGCCTGCCAAAAGACTCGCCTAAAAATAGGCCAAGGAGCAGTTTTTAAAAGGATTTTTAAAAAATTCAGGACAAACTAAGTGTAGGTTGTTTCTTTAGAAAATTCATTTTTAAAAAGCCTGTTTGAAAAAAATTCAAGTTGACTGTCCCTTTAAAGCTAAACTGGCAAAACACTGAGCAATGTGGTACAGAGTGTGAACCTGAATTGCCGGGAAGGGAGAACTAGGTGACCACATAAGTGACTCTTTTCAGTTTCTGATTTGTCCGATTGTAGACTGTTTGTATTTTTAAACTGTTGCATGTGTTGGTATCATAACCTCTCATTGCAGTAGAATCCACATTTGTCTGTTGCATGTAACTTGACAAAAGTAAAATTTCTCTTCGGAGCTCTTCCATACATCAGATTAATTTAACCCCATTGTTTTTTCTTTGATTTCTTTATGACCACATTAAAGGTTACATTTTCCGGTCCAACAACAGGTGCAAAGAAACCCAAAGTGCCTTACCAACTGATATCAGATTTCATAATACTAGCTAACAAGCTTTTGTTCTTGTTATGAGTGTTACTTAATGCCTTCTTAGGATGTGAGAACCAATAAGCAAGAGCATCTTACTCTGCCCTTAAGGATGTTTGATGTCACTCTTTTGACAAGAGAAAAAGTGAAAGTTCAACCACTGGTATCTTATAAATCAGTTTGGTATTTTATGCCATATCTTGCTTTGCATGTCTGGCGTGCTGGCATGATCCTGTAACCCCAGCTACTTGGGAGGCTGAGACTGACAGATTGCTCAGGGGTTCTGGGCTGCGGTATACTATGTCAGTTTGGGGGTCTGGTGCCACTGACAGCCTAGCCAGTGCGTGGCTGAAGGACTGGCTAGAACAACACAAATGACATGTTGTGACTGGCACTCTCTCTGTGAGTGCTGATGAACTGATCGATCAAGGTGATCTTGCTTTGCAGGAAGGATAGGAAGGTCGATTGCTGCCTGCCTCCAGCTATGATACTGGAATAACACCATGTCAGGAGTTTTGGCTGATAGGAGCTATAAATAATGCACACACTTATGGGTAGAGGTCAGGAGAGGCTGTCAGCTGTGATTCCTTTTGTCAATGGCAAATATTTGTGTTCCTGGAGGGAGCATTGTCTAGAAGTTAAAGCACAGGACTGGAAGTCTGGAGACCTGGGTACCATTCCTAGTTCTGTTACTGCTGTGATGCATAATCGAGGGAAAGTCATTTAACTTCTCTGTTGGCCCACCTGTAAAAAGTGGGTAATATTTACCAGTTTCTTGGGATATTTGAGTTTTAATTGATTATAAAATACTTGTAAAATGATTGGAAAGAAATGCAACCTTATTTATTTCTATTTTTAATGAATTTTAGGGATTAGTGGTGTAAGGGCTTCTCTACACAGCAAGTTACTGCGCAACAAGCCAGTGTGTGACTCTACAGAGTGACAAGCCTAGTGCACTGTAGAGTCACTCCCTGGCTTGCCATGCCATAACTTCTCATGTGCACAAGCCCTAAGTCACACAATTAATGCTTCCACTCAGCACCCTGTCCCCCGCAAAAGCACTTGGCAATATACACAATGTTAATAAGTTATTTCAGCCTTCATAGACAAGTTGCTACCCGCTCCATTTGTGGTATTTGACACTTTCTTTTCCTTGCTGACAGAAAAGCTTGCCGAAGCTCAGCGCAGGTCCGCTACCCTTCAGAATGAACTACAGTCATCTTTGGATGCACAGAAAGAAACTAGTGGTCTTACCACAGTGCGGCAGCGCAGAAAGGCAGTCTTCCACCTGTCCCATGAGGAGCGTGTTCAGCATAGGAACATCAGAGACCTAAAACTGGCCTTCAGTGAGTTCTACCTCAGCCTCATCTTACTGCAGAACTATCAGGTACGAAGAAAAGAATGGCACAATTTTCCCATGAGCCCTAAGTGCTCATGCCATTCTTAGTCATTGGATTTCTTCATCTTGTTGCAATCAGATGCCAGAACATTGAGACTGAGAATGGGAGAGTAAATAGGTCACTACTATAACTCTGAGGCCATATACTTGTTCATGTTCTGTTCTATGTAAAGCCAGATTTGAGAGTCTGGAAAGAAACTGTTATACCTTAAAATTTGGAAAGAAGCATGAGGATGTTTATACATTTAGTTTCTTTCTTTGTGTTACCATAGTAGTGTCGTTCACCTCATTGTAGCTGACTGCATCAACATTTTCTCTTTTAAAACCCGCGTTTTCAGGAGTTTCTAACTTTTCTGTTAAATTCTGTGGGATGCAACTTGGCATAAAAATTGTTAGCCTGGAGGCAAGTATAAAAATTAAATATTAGGCATATTTAGATTTGTAGCACTGAAAAATGGGATTGTAATGGTTGTAAAGACTGATTTGTGTTCCAATAATTTAATTTAATTGATGGGTTTTTTTACTTTACCTCGTAGAATAATGGCTCATAATGTGCACTAATTTGTTTTTGACATTTAATACTTTAAAAATTGTTTCTTCAAGTGTCATATTGTATGTAATGTGTGTGACACTGAAAATTTCATAACCAATTTTTTTTTAGCCTGTGAATTTAACTAGCTATTCAAACTTGGGTGCCTAAAAGAAAGCACCTACATCCTTCTATAGTCACCTAAATAATTTATGCTAGGGAATTTTACCAAACCGAATCCTGCCATTGGGAATTAATTTGTGAAGTTCCATAGTATAGACAAGGCTTTAGTAGTTTGATTTTTCAGAGGATTTGCAGCTCCCCTATAGTTCAGTGGGTTTGCTGGTACTCAGTATTTCCCAAATTAGATAATGTATTTAGATCCCTAAACATGGATTTAATTGCTTTACTTTAGGTTCCCAGGTTGGAAAATCTTGGTCCAGGCTAGTGTTAAAGCAAGTTGCAAATTGGCCTGTAAGCTGATACAGGCTTCTAGTACTACTGGAAGCACTCAGTTACTTACAGCAATGGCAGCTAGTTCACAACCCTGAAGTAGACAGAGTAACCTCAGATTTTTGCTCACTTCCTGGTGAAGCCAGGTTGGCCACTTTTTCCTTTTATTTCTTTTTAAAAAAGAATACTAGGCTCTTGGACTTTATTATCAGGAATCTCTTCTGTGGCCTGGTAAGATGAGGACAGTGCAAATGATTCCTTTAGATACCATGACTATCAAGGTTCCTCCCCCACTCTGAACTCTAGGGTACAGATGTGGGGACCTGCATGAAAACCTCCTAAGCTTACTTTTACCAGCTTAGGTTAAAACTTCCCCAAGGTATAAATTAATTTTATCTTTTGTCCTTGGAATAACCACTGCCACTACCAAACTCTAACTGGGTTTATTGGGAAACGTAGTTTGGACACGTCTTTCCCCCCAAAATCCTCCCAACCCTTGCACCCCACTTCTGGGAAAGGTTTGGTAAAAATCCTCACCAATTTGCATATGTGACCACAGACCCAAACCCTTGGATCTGAGAACAATGAAAAAGCATTCAGTTTTCTTACAAGAAGACTTTTAATAGAAATAGAAGTAAATAGGAGTAAAGGAATCACCCCTGTAAAATCAGGATGGTAGGTACCTTACAGGGTAATTAGATTCAAAACATAGAGAATCTTTCTAGGCAAAACCTTAAGTTACAAAAAAGACACGCAGACAGAAATAGTCATTCTATTCAGCACAATTCTTTTTTCAGCCATTTAAAGAAATCATAATCTAACGCATACCTAGCTAGATTACTTACTAAAAGTTCTAAGACTCCAGTCCTGGTCTATCCCCAGCAAAAGCAGCATACCAACAGAGAGACACAGACCCTTTGTTTCTCTCCCTCCTCCCAGCTTTTGAAAGTATCTTGTCTCCTTATTGGTCATTTTGGTCAGGTGCCAGCGAGGTTACCTTTAGCTTCTTAACCCTTTACAGGTGAGAGGATTTTTCCTCTGGCCAGGAGGGATTTTAAAGGGGTTTATCCTTCCCTTTATATTTATGACAATGACGAAGGAAGGAAGGAGTCACTGATGATAGAGACCAACTAGTAAATGTGCCAAAGAGAAGATAATTTTATGTTCGCTAAACATTGGTATAAACTCTGAGCCTATTTGGATTTGGAAGTCTCCACTTATGCAGACCCATTTGCATCCAAAACTGGCAGGGCATCTTTGAGGGTTTTACACTAAGTTGGAAAGTGAGAAAAACAGATGAAGTTGTTCTAAAACAAAGGACAAAGAGTTACATGTGTGAAAAAGTATCTGAACACAAACGCAGGCAGTGTGGAAAGCACTAGATGAGTTAATAAATTACGGCAGTTACCTGCTTAGGCATAAATGAAACCAGGTGGGAAGAATCTCATAATTGGAATGTTAACGTAGATTGTACTAATCTGCATAGAAGAAATAGAACGTGAAGTGAAGGTGGGTGGCATTATGTCAAATATATTTACAATTCTCTCAAGCTACAGTTTGTATAGTGGTGAAGCTTTTTGAGTTGGGTTACAAAGAAGGAAGAATTAAGATGAAACAGTAGATATCTTTTACAGACTGCAGTAGAACAACAACAAAAAATTCATGCACCAATTCTAAAGCTACTTAAAACTGCAGGATACATACCCATGGAGTCATTAACTGCCCAGTTATATGTGGGTGTCAGCCAAACATTTATCATCATCAAAGATTCCTCAATTAAAAAACAAGGTTGTGACCCAAATAGTAAAACTACCACTTAGATCTCACTAATAGAGGAACAGATATAAGAATGTGAACATAAAAGGGGAAATCTTGGAATTAGTAACCACAAACTGATGAATTCATCAAAGAAAGCAGTGCCTTTACACAGTGCAGCAGCACAAAGATAATGGGTTTCTGAAAAGAGCAAACTGAGAAAAGAACCTAGTGAGCAAGATATAATAGGAGGGAGTATTAAAATCCACTGTTACGGTGGAAGAATGGCAAGGCTAAAAACATCAATATATCCTAGTTCAACCTACATGTATTTGACCTGCATGAGATCCTGAATTTTCTAATTAACAGACATTACGTACAAGCAAGCACTTTCTCTCTGAGCCCATTCTCTCCTCCTACGTGATTTTGCATAATATTGCATAATGTAAGTTGTCACTGTGGTTTTGTGGTATTAGTCATTTATATGTTGGTAAACTGATATTTAATTTAGGCTTATGGACTTCACTTTAGTATCTAATAGAAATAGAAGCTGAGTTTGGAGGAGAGAGCTTCTATTCAAAAACAGGATTATCTTCAGTAGTAAGAAAAATACAGAATTTCAGGCTAAGTAAATTATTTCTGAATTTTTGCTTTTGTATTTGTATCACTGCAAAAGTCCTTCATTGAAACTACCATTTTACAGTGTTTAACTTCTTTAGCGCACAGCTTTGGAATCATGGAACTTATACTGTCAGAAGAGGAAGCTCCACTGTAAGAAGAACTCTAGGGTAGATGTTGTAAAAAATATTGGGCTGTTCTTCCTGAGATATGCTGATTACTCACACCAGCAAATAACATTAGTCAGTTCAGGGCAACAGTAAAATCTGTGACCAAAATTATCATTTTGTTACATTTTTTCATTTCAACTTTATGAAACAAGGCTCTGCTGTCCCAGGGGTGAAATGCTGGATTTTTCCAATAGGAAGTAATTAAAGTCTCTCTTGTCTGCGGTAATGCAGATTATTAATGCATTGGCTTCCTATTCCCATCTCCCTGTCCCTTCCTTACCTACTGCACAATGATGGTCTGATATTAAATCACTCCAGGCATAATTAGATTGAAAATCATTTCAGTAGAGTAGTTGGAGCCGCTCCCAAAGGCATTGAATTCTGCCATTCTCTGTATTTTTCTTTCAAATCTAGTCCATGGGCTAGTTTTTATAAACAAAAAAATAAAATTCCTTTCTGGTCTATCTGTATAGCTGGTAATAGGCTGAATAAGCTGACTGGAATATGAAGTGCTCTTGGTGATTTCTTTGCATAGTTAGATACCACCGTATTTCAAATATGCTTGATCATAGCAGTCTTCAGTCTACTCCTAGTTGCTATAATGAGCTTTTCCATTACTTTGTATTTAAAAATATTTAAACTAATGAATCTTGGCTTACACATACCTCTGATATTAACCCTCTTTTTTTCAACTAATTACTGTGGGCCTGATCTTGAACAGATCCTGAATATTCTCAGCTCCCTTTGACTTCAAGCTCAGACTTGTTTTCTATTCACATAATGTAAAATCCTGTTATAGGAACACACTTGGCTGGATTTAATTGCCATGACATGTAAAATGCTTTCTAATTTTTCTTGACAAGGATATATCTTATTGAGTGTGTTATGCTGTACTGCTATGTAGTCTCTAGTATTAATGTGGTCAATCTTGGTTTTAAAATGAAGGAACTAGGAATCTGTAGTCTTCCCTATCCGAAAGAAAGAAAGGGAAAAAAAAATCCCCAAAAGACAAGTAGGTGTGATGCCTGGGCAGTGGATGCCTGGATAAGAGGATGAAGCTAAAAGCAACTTTGTTCTTACAAAATTACCCTCTTTAAACTTTCTGTATGTATAAATTTCAGTTAAGAGCTCAAAATAACTGTCAGTATATAGGCAAACTGTGATATGGTACACAGGACATACTTGAATGAGCTACTGTTACCTGAGACCGTACAAACAGACCATCAGAGTCAAAATTACTGTGGGAAAAATGCTCAGTATAGCCAAAGCTCAGCTATCTACATTGAATTTTCATCCAGAAGGTTGCCTGTCTGGTCAGGGAAGGAGAGGTGGCAGCAACTTCACTTTGCAGAGTAAAAAAATGTATGTTCCACAAGGTTCAGTGTGTTATGTTGATATTCTTCTGTGTCTAGTCCATTTTATCTCATGCTTTATTATAGTTAATTGTGATCACTTTCGTTCTACAGATTTGCTCTTAATTGTGTTCTTGTTTTATATATAAACATCTGTTTTATTTCTAAGCAAAAAAAAAAGGGTGTAATTTTTTGTGCGGGTTAGCACACTCAGGTCATCTGCTGCTTTTGAACCTTTGAAACATCTGTGCAAATGAGTATATTGGATGGTATTGACACAACCCTTTTCTCTGAATATACATTGTCTTTTTTTGATTAACTCTATTTTAATAGGTTTCACAGTAGCAGCCATGTTAGTTTGTATTCGCAAAAAGAAAAGGAGTACTTGTGGCACCTTAGAGACTAATGCTGGTATTGCATACGTTACTGTCATGAGACTGAATAAGGTATTAGACTTAAGTTCTCTACAAATAATTTCATATTTTTCATGCTCTCCATCCATACAGTCTTACTATTTTTTTTGAATAAATATTTATTCCTTTATTTAATAGCTCTATAGATCAAACAACCCTCCTGAAATATTTATACAAAAGGATCTCTAATTAACAACCCTTATTGACTGTTCCTTCTCCGCTACCACTGGAATATTACCAGATTTCAACGTTCTTCATTGTTAGCTGAGACTAAAAAAATGTGTTTTTTTTTCTTGTTTCTAGAACCTGAATTTCACAGGATTCCGTAAGATCCTGAAGAAGCATGACAAGATCCTGGAGACACCCCGGGGTGCAGACTGGCGGGTGGCCCATGTGGAGGTGGCACCATTCTATACTTGCAAGAAAATCAACCAGCTCATCTCTGAAACAGAGGTAGAGAATGCTGAACCGTGTATTACTTCCACTTTATATAGAGAAACTATGCTCTTCTCTCCCTTCACCAGTAATAACCCTGAGCTCCTCTACTGTCTTGTGAATAAATGCCTTAATTACCAATGCAACTATTAATTGATTTGAAAGAGCCATTAATTTCTGGCATTGATCACTTGTAGTTTGTGGGTTTATGTGTACACTGGTTTCAGCTGCTAACTTTCACTATGTGAAATTACAGTGATGGTTAAGAGTAATACATTACACATCAATTACATCATTATTATGAGTCATCACTCAGTCACTTTCTCTTTCACTGGGTAGACCCCTGCTTTCAATTCTTGTGATTTATGCCCATAGACTGTGGTGACCAATGAGTTAGAAGATGGAGACAGACAGAAGGCCATGAAGCGTTTACGTGTCCCACCCTTGGGAGCTGCTCAGGTGAGAATTTAAATTCCATAGTTCTGTTTTCCTCTCAGGTTAGCTGATGTGTCAAATTACATTTCAGCCCCTCAGCAGAATGTAAAAGTGCAAATATATTGGAATGGGTGTTTCTACCTGTCATGAGAGATGACCAGCACCTTAAATTATTTGGTGGTTAGAAAAGGTAACCTACTTTAGTCTCAGAAAATTTGAAAATGGCTTTGCAAGGGCTAATGTATTAAGGCAAAGTAATGGTGGAGAGGTGAATAATATGGGGAAATAAATGTTAGCCTTTCAAACTTACTGTTAGTATAGATAGTTCTGGCTGTGCTCTTCTGTGTTGGAATGCTGGTGTAAAGACCTGGCAGATTTCTCAGAAGACATTAATACACTTGGGCTCTCTGTTCTGACATTGCATAATGCTCTAGGCTGGTGCTATGTTGTACTTATAGGATTTAAGAAACTTCATCTTACAGGGGAAGGAGATATTAGAATATAGGGTAGAATGCTACATTAATTGGTATGACATTTATTCTGAAAATGAATGTGCATTGCAGATAAATTAGTATTGTGCCCTTAAGCCAACTATTGTTCTATTTACAGCCTGCACCAGCATGGACCACTTTCAGGGTTGGCTTGTTCTGTGGCATATTCATTGTGCTAAACATCACTGTCATTCTTTCAGGTAGGTATCCTTATCTTGGATCCAAATGACCCCCCAGAGCCTGATTCTCGGTTTGCTTTTATTACCTTATAAGTGTTGAATGAGTAGTAGTAACAAGGTTGAATTTGTCAGAACATTGCTGGTAAGAAGGCTTGGTAGTCTCGGTCAAACCAATCAAGTCAGCTACTGGTTATACCCGATGATATGTAATACCTTTCCCATGTTACATATGTAAGTAATACTTTTGTAACATGCTGTAGTTATACTGGCTTCTTACTTCTATTCTTAGTGGAATCTCATGCAAATGTTGTCACCTCAGTGTCCTCTGGACCTTCTGTCATTGACAGTTACATCCATTTTATCTCTCCTGGGGTGCTCTTAGGATTCATATTTTGTATATTACTTATTCACTGGAAGAAGGAATTGGTATTGCCTGCTGTAAAACTGCAGGTTCACAGACTGAGGGTCCAGTTTCAAGCAGCATTATGCCATGCAATTTCATCCTTTTAAAAAGTTTCTTACTGAAATTTCTGGGATTTCAGTGCCAGGTCCCTATTGGGCCGACCTGATGGTATATTGCTTTGTTGGTAAATTTTGACAAGTGCACAAAAAGGCAATCAATCCTCACATCACCTGCGCTTTGTATTTATATTGGTTTGCTTCCTCTCATCAACGTAAAACCCCCTTACTTATTGTGGTACATTACACACAACCATCAACCGTAGAAATCAGGCCAGAGCGGGAATTCTGCCTTGTTACAAGGAGCTTTTTCAGTTGCATACGAAAAGGCCTGATTTTTGTCTCCAGTGGAGGGGTAGTCTGTTTAAATAATGCAAAAGAAACAGCTAGCAAATCAACCGATATCTCTTTGCACTAGGGAAAGCCCATGTATTCAATTTAAAAGAGTTTTTAATCAGGTATTTTTAAAATTGAAAGGTTTCAGAGGAACAGCCGTGTTAGTCTGTATTCGCAAAAAGAAAAGGAGTACTTGTGGCACCTTAGAGACTAACCAATTTATTTGAGCATGAGCTTTCGTGAGCTACAGCTCACTTCATCAGATGTATACCGTGGAAACTGCAGCAGACTTTATATACACACAGAGAATATGAAACAATACCTCCTCCCACCCCACTGTCCTGCTGGTAATAGCTTATCTAAAGTGATCAACAGGTGGGCCATTTCCAGCACAAAGCCAGGTTTTCTCACCCTCCACCCCCCCACCCAAATTCACTCTCCTGCTGGTGCTAGCCCATCCAAAGTGACAACTCTTTACATAATCAAGTCGGGCTATTTCCTGCATAGATCCAGGTTTTCTCACATCCCCCCCACCCCCATACACACACAAACTCACTCTCCTGCTGGTACTAGCTCATCTAAACTGACCACTCTCCAAGTTTAAATCCAAGTTAAACCAGAACATCTGGGGGGGGGGGGGGGGGGGGAGGGGGGAAAAACAAGAGGAAACAGGCTACCTTGCATAATGACTTAGCCACTCCCAGTCTCTATTTAAGCCTAAATTAATAGTATCCAATTTGCAAATGAATTCCAATTCAGCAGTTTCTCGCTGGAGTCTGGATTTGAAGTTTTTTTGTTTTAAGATAGCGACCTTCATGTCTGTGATTGCGTGACCAGAGAGATTGAAGTGTTCTCCGACTGGTTTATGAATGTTCTAATTCTTGACATCTGATTTGTGTCCATTTATTCTTTTACGTAGAGACTGTCCAGTTTGACCAATGTACATGGCAGAGGGGCATTGCTGGCACATGATGGCATATATCACATTGGTGGATGTGCAGGTGAACGAGCCTCTGATAGTGTGGCTGATGTTATTAGGCCCTGTGATGGTGTCTCCTGAATAGATATGTGGGCACAATTGGCAACGGGCTTTGTTGCAAGGATAAGTTCCTGGGTTAGTGGTTCTGTTGTGTGGTATGTGGTTGTTGGTGAGTATTTGCTTCAGGTTGCGGGGCTGTCTGTAGGCAAGGACTGGCCTGTCTCCCAAGACTTGTGAGAGTGTTGGGTCATCCTTTAGGATAGGTTGTAGATCCTTAATATTGCGTTGGAGGGGTTTTAGTTGGGGGCTGAAGGTGACCGCTAGTGGCGTTCTGTTATTTTCTTTGTTAGGCCTGTCCTGTAGTAGGTAACTTCTGGGAACTCTTCTGGCTCTATCAATCTGTTTCTTTACTTCTGCAGGTGGGTATTGTAGTTGTAAGAAAGCTTGACAGAGATCTTGTAGGTGTTTGTCTCTGTCTGAGGGGTTGGAGCAGATGCGGTTGTATCGCAGAGCTTGGCTGTAGACGATGGATCGTGTGGTGTGGTCAGGGTGAAAGCTGGAGGCATGCAGGTAGGAATAGCGGTCAGTAGGTTTCCGGTATAGGGTGGTGTTTATGTGACCATTGTTTATTAGCACTGTAGTGTCCAGGAAGTGGATCTCTTGTGTGGACTGGACCAGGCTGAGGTTGGTGGTGGGATGGAAATTGTTGAAATCATGGTGGAATTCCTCAAGGGCTTCTTTTCCATGGGTCCAGATGATGAAGATGTCATCAATATAGCGCAAGTAGAGTAGGGGCTGTAGGGGACGAGAGCTGAGGAAGCGTTGTTCTAAATCAGCCATAAAAATGTTGGCATACTGTGGGGCCATGCGGGTACCCATAGCAGTGCCGCTGATCTGAAGGTATACATTGTCCCCAAATGTGAAATAGTTATGGGTAAGGACAAAGTCACAAAGTTCAGCCACCAGGTTAGCCGTGACATTATCGGGGATAGTGTTCTTGACGGCTTGTAATCCATCTTTGTGTGGAATGTTGGTGTAGAGGGCTTCTACATCCATAGTAGCCAGGATGGTGTTATCAGGAAGATCACCGATGGATTGAAGTTTCCTCAGGAAGTCAGTGGTGTCTCGAAGGTAGCTGGGAGTGCTGGTAGCGTAGGGCCTGAGGAGGGAGTCTACATAGCCAGACAATCCTGCTGTCAGGGTGCCAATGCCTGAGATGATGGGGCTCCCAGGATTTCCAGGTTTATGGATCTTGGGTAATAGATAGAATATCCCAGGTCGGGGTTCCAGGGGTGTGTCTGTGCGGATTTGATCTTGTGCTTTTTCAGGAAGTTTCTTGAGCAAATGCTGTAGTTGCTTTTGGTAACTCTCAGTGGGATCATAGGGTAATGGCTTGTAGAAAGTGGTGTTGGAGAGCTGCCGAGCAGCCTCTTGTTCATATTCCGACCTATTCATGATGACAACAGCACCTCCTTTGTCAGCCTTTTTGATTATGACGTCAAAGTTGTTTCTGAGGCTGTGGATGGCATTGCGTTCCGCATGGCTGAGGTTATGGGGCAAGTGATGCTGCTTTTCCACAATTTCAGCCTGTGCACGTCGGCGGAAGCACTCTATGTAGAAGTCCAGTCTGCTGTTTCGACCTTCAGGAGGAGTCCATCTAGAATCCCTCTTTCTGTAGTGTTGGCAGGGAGACCTCTGTGGATTAGTATGTTGTTCAGAGGTATTTTGGAAATATTCCTTGAGACGGAGACGTCGAAAATAGGATTCTAGGTCACCACAGAACTGTATCATGTTCGTGGGGGTGGAGGGGCAGAAGGAGAGGCCCCGAGATAGAACAGCTGCTTCTGCTGGGCTGAGAGTATAGTTGGATAGGTTAACAATATTGCTAGGTGGGGTGAGGGAACCATTGCTGTGGCCCCTTGTAGCATGTAGTAGTTTAGAAAGTTTAGTGTCCTTTTTCTTTTGTAGAGAAGCAAAGTGTGCGTTGTAAATGGCTTGTCTAGTTTTAGTAAAATCCAGCCACGAGGAAGTTTGTGTGGAAGGTTGGTTCTTTATGAGAGTATCCATTTTTGAGAGCTCATTCTTAATCTTTCCCTGTTTGCTGTAGAGGATCTTGATCAGGTGATTCCGCAGTTTCTTTGAGAGCGTGAGGCACAAGCTGTCAGCATAGTCTGTGTGGTACAGGGCCTAATAACATCAGCCACACTATCAGAGGCTCGTTCACCTGCACATCCACCAATGTGATATATGCCATCATGTGCCAGCAATGCCCCTCTGCCATGTACATTGGTCAAACTGGACAGTCTCTACGTAAAAGAATAAATGGACACAAATCAGATGTCAAGAATTAGAACATTCATAAACCAGTCGGAGAACACTTCAATCTCTCTGGTCACGCAATCACAGACATGAAGGTCGCTATCTTAAAACAAAAAAACTTCAAATCCAGACTCCAGCGAGAAACTGCTGAATTGGAATTCATTTGCAAATTGGATACTATTAATTTAGGCTTAAATAGAGACTGGGAGTGGCTAAGTCATTATGCAAGGTAGCCTGTTTCCTCTTGTTTTTTCCTACCCCCCCCCCCCCAGATGTTCTGGTTTAACTTGGATTTAAACTTGGAGAGTGGTCAGTTTAGATGAGCTAGTACCAGCAGGAGAGTGAGTTTGTGTGTGTATGGGGGTGGGGGGGATGTGAGAAAACCTGGATCTATGCAGGAAATAGCCCGACTTGATTATGTAAAGAGTTGTCACTTTGGATGGGCTAGCACCAGCAGGAGAGTGAATTTGGGTGGGGGGGTGGAGGGTGAGAAAACCTGGCTTTGTGCTGGAAATGGCCCACCTGTTGATCACTTTAGATAAGCTATTACCAGCAGGACAGTGGGGTGGGAGGAGGTATTGTTTCATATTCTCTGTGTGTATATAAAGTCTGCTGCAGTTTCCACGGTATACATCTGATGAAGTGAGCTGTAGCTCACGAAAGCTCATGCTCAAATAAATTGGTTAGTCTCTAAGGTGCCACAAGTACTCCTTTTCTTTTTAAAATTGAATTCAGTCATCTTCAGGATAAAATGTTTGTGCTTTGGAAGCTGTTTGCTGAATTGCTTTCCTTATTTTTCTGATAGATGCAATTTTTTTCTTTGAGTGATGGTCCCTGTATGTATTCCAAATGTGGGTGTGAATGCGTGCCATATGCCAGAAGGTCCTCTTAGCAGTGTCCTTTGTGCTTGCTTGCAGCAGAGGATATA